TTTCCGAGTGCACGCGATGCAGAGGCCGTCGGACGACTTCCGTTAAGCTACACCTTTGCACCCAGACGAGCTACAAGGGCGTTCGGCTTGCTCGTAGGATCGTTTGGAGAGGGATGGTAGTGGTTGTGGTGTGGACAGCCCACACGTTCGACATAGGCCTGCTGAGCCAGGGGTGGAACGGCGGTCGCACCTACGCGTCGCGCGTGGGAAACAGGACGAAGTGCAAAGACAACACAAAGTGTCCTCTGGCGACTCGACTACGTTCGTACACGCGGGCGCGCGGCAGAAGTGGAGCAGGGCGGGCGGATGGCAGACGAGGCAATGCTGTCCGCGTTGTCGAAGGACGCGGAAGTTGCAGGTGGCCGTGGCGCAAGGAAAGACCCCGACGATGCACATGGGGCATTGCGCGCCCGTTCGAGATGTGCTTTCTTGCACCGCTGGCGCCCCGCACTTCGGAGCGCTACATCGCGAGGGCGTAGATGCAAGCGCCGTCGAAGACTGCGCTGGAGCGGCTAGAGAAGGGCTGGCGGCTGGACTGGCTCCGCCACAGTGAGCGCACAGATCTGGAGTTCCGGGCGCTCCTCGGCGCGAGAAGCACACTGTGCACGGTCGACGTCCGGCTTGGCATGGGACGCAAGTACTGTGGGCTGCATCGCTCCGTTCCTCCTGGCAGCCAGGCGATGCGCAGGCGAATTGCCGACCAGGGTTGTAGGGGCAAGAATGGTTGTTGTGACGGTTAACGCATTGCGGAAGCCGGCCTGGTGCATTTTTGACCTTTTGCCGGACGTGGGAAGGACACCCCAGCACCGCGAAGCGACAGGGCAGGGAGCCTTCAGAGCACGGAAAGCACGGGCCAGATGATTTGTTGGTTGCCAGAAGGCGGCAGCCGACGCGGGCGTTCCTACACAAGTTCCACTCACGCGCGGTATTGTGGCATGGGTCGGAATAGTGCGCCGTGCAGAAAGTAGGCGTGACATGTGTTTTTGGCCGTCGGAAGGGCGGGGCTACAGGAGCCTCGCACTGGGGGTGGGCACATCGTGCATCTGCCGAAAGGCGCCGCTTGCAAAATCTTTGACGTTCTCGTTCGTTGGTGCCTTCGACTGGGATCTGAGCTTGGAGTCCATTGCAAATTGGATAGTTATGACACGTGTGTCGCGGCCTCTCAGTAACAGCTGGAACCATGACCACGAATACGGAGGTGCAGGGAGCGGCGGCTCGACCCGCGATATGGATGGCAGCCTGCAATGCCGTAAAAGTAAGCAGGAGAATACTGACTGGTGACTGCGGAGGCAGCAGCATCATGTCTTCAGCCGATATGGGGTACGGGGTCGGTGGAGCAGGACGCGGAAGTGCAACTCGGAGACCTTGTTGGAAGCTCCGGGAACAGCCTCGGCGCTGACCTGGGCCCCGTCATGGCTCCATGGATGGGCCAATGGTTGTGCACGGAAACGGAAAGAGCGCTGAAGGAACTTGCCCGAGACGGCTCATGGCACCCTTCGCTCTTGGAAGCGTAAATGTTAAGGGCTGGTTACGTCACTGCTCCCCGTCCTCCTCTCCTCCTCGTCCTCCTCCTCCTCCTCATCATCATCAGCCTCCTCCATGTCCTCCCCGCTCTCTTCAATCTGCCGCTCCTTCTCTTCCTACACCTCGTTCTCGTCCTTCCTCACCTCGAGTCACTCCCCAGTCCTCCTCATCCTTCGCTCCCCTTCCATCCTTGTCATCAGCATCCCTCGCCACCATTACTTACGCCTCCTCATCATCATAATGTATGGTGTGGCTCTCGCGTGGCCATCATTGGGCTGTCTTGGGGCCTCGCATGACCCTCTCGGGGTCAGTTTTTGGAGGCATACTGGAAGTCTCTGGGGCGTATTGGGAGGAGTTGTTGGGCTTCTTGGGAGCCTCCGGGGAGCCTTTTGGGGGGCGCTTGGGTGGCCTCGGGGGGCCTCTTGGGGTCCGCTGGGCTCGCTTAGGCAATCTTGAGGCCATGTCGGGGCCCTCCTGGGGCCGTCTTGGGCGACTCCTGCGCCGTCCTGGGGCGCTCTTGGACCGTCTTGGGACGCCTTTGGGGGCGTCTTGGGCCGTCTTGGGCCCGGCTTAAGGGTCTCTTGGGCCGTCCTGGGGCTCTCTTGGGGGCCTCTTGGGCCGTCTTGGAGCGTCGGAAAGCAAAAAAAGCAAGAACGCGAAAAACATCGAAAGAACCACTGACAAATCAGCGTTTGTGGCCTCTTGGGGTTCTCTTGGGAGGCCTCTTGGAGGCCGCTTGGGGCGTGTTGGTGGCCTGTGGGCTCGTCTGGAGGCCATGCTGGCGCGTGTTGGAGGCTCGCTGGCCTTTTAGGCAGTCGTCAGGCCATGTCGGGGCCCTCCTGGGGCTGTCTTGAGCGGCTCCTGGGTTGTCTTGGGGCTCACTTGGGCCATCTTGGGACGCCTTTGGGGGCCTCTTGGGTTGTCTTGGGGCCGGCTCAGGGGCCTCTGGGGCCGTCCTGGGCTGTCTTGAGTGCCTCTTGGGCCGTCTGGCAGCGTCGGAAAACAGAAAAAGCGAGAAGGCAAAACACATAGAACAAAAACAATGACAAATCAACGTTTGTGGCCTCTTGGGGCTCCTTGGGAGGCCTCTTGGAGGCCGCTTGGGGCGTGTTGGTGGCTTCTGGCCTCGTTTGGAGGCCATGCTGGCGCGTGTTGGAGGTCCGCTGGGCTCGCTTAGGCAGTCTTCAGGCCATGGCGGGGCCCTCCTGGAGCTGTCTTGGGCGGCTCCTGGGCCGTCCTGGGGGCCTTTTGGGCCGTCTCGGGACGCCTTTGGGGGCTTCTTGGGCCGTCTTGGGGCCGGCTTAAGGGTCTCTTGGGCCGTCCTGGGGCTCTCTTGGGGGCCTCTTGGGCCGTCTTGGAGCGTCGGAAAGCAGGAAAAGCGAGAAGACAAAAAACATTGAACAAAACCAATGAACATAAACCACATTTTTTGCCTCTTGGGGCTCTCTTGGGAGGTGTCTTGGAGGCCGCTTGGGGCGTGTTGGTGGCCGCTGGGCTCGTCTGGAAGCCATGCTGGCGCGTGTCGGAGCGCTCGCGGGCTGTCTTGGCTGGGCTGGAGCCCGCCCTAGCGGTCTCTGGAGCCGAACGGGAACCCTTCCGAGCGGCCCCGGGGGCCCTGCACCCCCATGCGCCCCCGAGGTCCTTGGGCTCGGCCGGGGGACTTCGTCGCCCGGGATATATATATATATATATATATATTTATATATATATATTATATATTATATAATATATAATGTATATGTGTATGTACATGTATAACAAAAAAAGGCTTGGCCGCGTCCGCGCGCACGACGACTATGAGCGACGAGCGACAAGCCACGAGCAACGACGACGACGACGACAACGACGACGACTGCGGACCAGACTCCCGTTCGGATTCCTACGCGGACACAAACGCGGATCCCAATGCGCACGGCGGCAGTGCCTGGAGCGCACTGGGGGGGGGAGCGTTACGTCATAGGGGGGGGAGCGGGGGCCATGACGCAGGTCATGCCCCAAGCAATAAAAAAACGGGCTCAAACGAACAGAGAAAAGAAACGTCGGAAAAAAACGTCGTCGTCAAGTCGATTCCCTCCCTTTTGCCCCTCCCTGGCGGGGGGGCGGGCAGAGGGGGTGGGGGTGGGGATCCCGGGTCAGCTTGCATCCCCCCCCGGGTGGCCCGCTGGCTCTCCGTCCACTCCCCTCGGCGGTGCCCCCTGTAACGACGAGGGACAAGGGGGCGGTCTCCCTGTCGGCCCCGGCCCAGGCCCCCGGCCCCAGCCCCGGCCGCGAGCCGGGCCCTGTGACCCGACTCTGGCCCCGGCCCCACCTTGAGGCTCCACTCCGCGCTGATTAGCCACGTAGTGCCTCAGTCAGTGCCTGGCAGCTCTCTGTCCTCGACTGGAGCGCAAACGGGCTTCTCCGACATGCGCGCGACAGCTCGCAACAGTTTGGACGCCCGAAATGGGTACAGAAAGAGTGGGCACAGTGCCCCACAACAGATGTTGCCCCAAACCAACAGCGGCCGCTGTTGGGCAGGCGGCCTCCTGTCTCGAATGGGCACAGGCCGCGGCGGCGCGGACAGCGAGCCCTGCTCAAAATGGACAGGAACTGCTGTTGGGCGTTGCACCCGTTCTTTCCGTGCCCACTCCCCGACCAGCCACAACGGGGGGAGCTGTGGTCCTTACCCCCCTGGGGGAACCCATCGCATCGACGACCTCTCGAGGCCCAGACCCCCGACGTCGTGATTTTTTCACGACGTCGACCCCCAGAGGTCTGGACCCCTTCCCTGGGACCGGTTTTTCGTCCTGCATCGTTTTTTGACGGTCCCGAGGCCCGGGAAGGGCCCCCAGAGGGCGAAAATAGCGAAAAACCTCCCGTCGTGATTTTTTCACGACGCCAGGAGGTCTGGGGAGGGGTGTCGAAATCGATGGGTCCCCCAGGGGGGTAAAGAACACGGCTCCCCCAGCTGTGGCTGGCCTGATCTCGCTCCTGCAGAGCAGCAGGGGCCGGGGGCGGCAGCCCCAGCCCCGGCCCTGCTCCCCCGGCCCTGGCCCCGGCCCTGGCTCCGACCCCGGCCCAGCTGAAGGAGGAGGAGGAGGAAGGAGGAGGAAGGAGGAAGGAGGAGGAGGAGGAGGAGGAGGAGGAGGAGGAGGACCCTCAGGAGGCTCGAGGAGGAGGAGACGAGGAGGAAGAGGGGAAGGGCCCTGTTCCCCCAGCCCTGGCCTCTGCCCTGTTCCCCCGGCCCTGGCCCCAGCCCCGGCCCCGGCCCGTGCCCCAGGGCCCTGAGGGCCCCGGCCACGACGCGGCGAATCCGTCGGTCAGCCCCTCCCTTGTGGGATGCACAGAAGCATACTGTCACTATACATCCTCCTTGGAGGCGCGCGCCCGACCCGAACATGTAGTATACCCTTCTTGCGGTAGATGGTTTCCAGAGCCGTGTGCCGAGAACGGGCCCGCCACGACGCATATACTATGAGATTTCTCGGTGCGCGCGTCGCTCCTGGGGGGTGTGACGCACACATAGGGGTGGCGCCGATCATAGTTTCCACGTGTCTTGCTGAACTCACACCTGCAATGTTCTATTCAGCGCGGAGCCAGACATTCATGCGAAGCCATGCCAAAAAAAGGCCCCGCGAAGCCAATTACTGTATATAAAGCGGCATGAGCAAAAACGTCAAGAAGAAAAAAATGCATAAACATAAACTGTCGACGGTCCGCGCGGATGTCTTGGATCTGCGCTGGGCCCCCCCCTCCCTGCCGCGCGGAGCGCGCCAGGGGGCGGCGCCGGAGGCGCCGCGGGGGGGGGGGTCCAGCGCGGATCCAAGAAATCCGCGCGAAGCGCCAAAAGTTTATGTTTATGTTGTTTTTTCTTCTCCGCTCTCCTGCGACCAGGAAAGGAGGAGAGAGAGGCCTCCCAAATGGGGTCGGAGTAGATGGGGTCGGAAGATCGCGCCGCATCGGCGATACATAGGCGATGCATCGGCGACGCATCGGCGATGCATCGGCGATGCGCCGGCGATGCCAGCGATGCATTGGCGACATCTGCGCGAAGAAGACCGGGCTCCGCATCGAGCCGCATCGGCGATGCATCCGCGATGCAGCGCGCTCCTCCGAACCGAATCTACTCTGACCCCATCTAGGAGGCGTGGAGGAGAAGAAGCAGCCAGTACAAAAACAAGACGCCCCCACGGGGCCACACGGCCTCGGCGGGCCCGGCGGGCTTTCTCGCAACCGCCGCGCGCGGAGGGCAAACCCCGCCGCGAAAGAACAATATGCCAAGGGGGAGGAGGGAGAGGAAGAGGAGGAGGAGGAGGAGGAGGAGGAGGAGGAGGAGATTCCGCGTAATTCCGAGAGGGAGGAGTAGGAGGAGGAGGAGGAGGAGGAGGAGGAGGAGGAGGAGGAGGAGGAGATTCCGCGTAACTCCGCCTCCAAGCTCCCTCTTCATAGGCCCCTACAACGGGCTCAGTTACACTGAAGGAACTGCCTCGTTGGAAGACAACCGTTTGAAGACCCTGAAGCATGCCAAAGCATTGTTCTCGGGATTCCAACGCCACGGATCCACCTGACTGGCGCGTCTTGACGATCCTGAATAGTGCCATAATGCCATTCCTGGGACTTCAAAACACATTGAATCAACGTAACTGTTGCACCCGCATAACCCTGAACCTTTCCAAAACACCAAACTCTGGTACGTTGGTGATGGGAACCCGTGAAACGCTTGTAAGTTGTATGAATGAATGCGGGCGGCGATGAGGCGGGAAACACATGTTGAAAAAGGAACCGCCCTCAATCCGTGAAACTCTCGCAATGCTTTAAACGAATGTGCGCGGCGTTAAGGCGAGAACCACATGTTGAAAACCACCCGCCCGCAATCCGTGAAACTCTTCCAAAATTTCAACACGAATGTGCGCCGAGCTAAGGCGAGAGCCACATTTGAAAAACCACCCGCCCTCCAGCTGTGAAACTGTTGCTAACTTTCAGAATCATCAATGGTGAGGAAGCCTCAGGCGAAACGCCCGGCCCGCCTTAAAAACTGGCCTCGGGGTGCGACAAGGAGGAACTATTCATAAGGAAAAGGAATGGAGGAGGAGGAGGAGGAGAAAGAGGAGGAGGAGGAGGAGGAGGAGAAGAGGGAGGAGGAGGAGGAGGAGGAGGAGGAGGAGGAGGAGGAGGAGAAAGGAAGCGGAGGAGGAGGGGGGCGCCCTCCTCCGGTGTCTCGGTGGACATGGGGCGCTATGCGCCGTGGAACCCCCCCATGCAGGGAACGCCTGCTTAAAATTGTAGCCATGCTCTGAGAATTCTCTGAGCAGCCGCAATGAATCGACGGGAGAAGCCCAGGTGGCTGGCCCATTACAGAGGGCTGCCAGAACTGCTGTGGCCTCGAAGGACCCCTACGAGTGGCCCTGGGGCCCTCGGAGCAAGAGCGGAGGCAGGGGCGGCAGGGGCGGCAGCGGACGCCCGCGCGCCTCACTCCTCCTCGGGCAGGCGCGCCCGGCCCAGCCGGCCGCACGGCGCCGCCGCCGCCCGCACGCCCGTGCAGACCGCCGCGGCGCGCGCGAGCAGCGCCCGGGAGCCGCTCGGCGAGACCTGCCCCGGCAGCAGCGAAAGGCTGGGCCTGGGCGCCGAGGCCCACCTCAGCGACGATCAAGAGCGGGTCTCTCGCGAGAGGACGCAGCGGCCCTACGCGGTGGCTTGCGCGGGCCGCCGGCGCGGCACGCTGCCTTGGAGACGAGGGCGCCTACGCGCGACATTACGCGGGCAGCTTACGCGCCAATGTCGGCGCAGACGACCCGTTCTTTTCCGTCGCTCACCCGTCGAAATCGACGACGATCCGCTCGAAGTCCTTCTGCGAACGTCCCCTGACAGTACCGGCGTCGCCCACGTTCAGAGACCAGTCCTTCCCCGTGAAGTTGATGCCTGAGACGACCCGCTCGCCCACGTAGTAGCCTCCAGGGAGCTGCTCCTCGACCAGGAACATCCACGCCCGCATGAGCGCGTGGGACCCTCCAGGCGTGCTCTTCACGTAGAACAGGCTGCCGCTGACGTCGGCGCTGGTGGCACTAGCATCACACTGCGCGGACTGCCTCGGGGCAAAGACGACATCTTGGCCACCACTGACCTCTGTGAACGCCGCGATAGGGTCCTCCTGGAACTCGACCCCAGGCTCCGCGAAGAGGATGCCGCCAGCCGCACCGCTGAAGACGGCCGTGGTAAGCAGGGCGATCTTGAACTTCTGGGCATCGAGTGCCCGGGGAATCTCAACACACACGGAATTGCCAGTGGCGCGAATGATCCTCTTGCAGCCCTGCACCTGGGTCACAACGACGGCCCTCGCAGATGGGTTG